AGCAGTGTAAGACTAGAGGAAAGGCAGCTAGTCATCACCATCCATCTCCAACTTGTGGGCTACTCTTTTACCAATGAATAGTGGGATTGACCGTCACATTATAATGCCTCCACAGCTGAAAGGGCGAGCATGTTTGGTGTGACGTGGATTCTAACCCACGACCCGCAGATTGTGAGTCGAGTGCCCTAACCACCTGGCCATGCCAATCTATCCAGAATGTCAATTATTGTCCATATAGGTAATGATGGAAAAGACTTAAGGCTTGAACAACACTTAGTAGCTCTTTTTGAATTGTGCAATAATTCTTTTCTGCAGCATTAATTAGCTTGCTTATAACAGGCAATCAAGTGTCATTTTCCATGTTTTACTTGTGTTACTAGTATTAGTGGGTCTTCAAGAGATGGGTAAGCTAGTACAGAAGAACTTGTATTGGTTAATTCTTTTTATCGGCAGTCCAACAAGACTTATTTGGTTTGCAAGTAATTTGTATAGAATAAAGCTATGTCAGAGACTAATTTTACAAAATTACGATAGTAAGAGCACAGTTCAAAGGGTAGTTCAGAAGGAGTATGCTCCATTAGTCCAAAGAAATGTGTCAAGTGCATTATATGATCTAGATGGTAATACAAGTCGCTATAACCCATTTCCTGCAGCAAAACCTCCCCTCTCTCTACTTGTTTTGTGAAGTTGCACTTGCCAATATCCACTCTTCAAATCCAATGTTGAAAACCATTGTGATCCAGATAAAGCATCAAAACTAGTCAATACTTGGTAGTGGATAGGCGTGCTTCTTTTTGACTTCATTCAATTTATGGTAGTACACACAGCACATTGTGAATCTGTCCTCCTTCTTTACAAGTACAATAGGCGACGCCTATGGACTTGTACTCGGTTCTCTTATTCCTACATGGATCCTATCTCTTTGAAAGCCTCAGCCTGTTTTTCAAGTAGAGGAGGTATCTTGATATTTCATGAGAAAGTCATATAATCTATCACATTTATCAACCATTAGATCTCCATACCTCCTTACCTCAGGATTTGACATCAGAATTCCCATGTCTTGCCTCAATAGTCACTACTTTTAATATTATTTGATGTGAAAGTTCTATGAATACAGACTTGAATCAAATTTCATGGTTTGTTGTGTTCTGGCTTTAATGGTAACATCTTTATTATTGACAGTTCTTCCAACCAATAATGTCTTCGGACACACTGAAGTATTTGGTTGTAATACCCCCCAATCACTAGATGTAAATTTATTTGTAACAAATCCTGGTATGAATATTTCACTTCTTAGTGGTAGAATAATTGCCCTGCTTGTTATCACTGGAAGTTCAACCTCTGATTGCCATGCAGTATATACGGATTTCCTGATCCTAGACTTTCTGAAGGTAGCCTAATCTTGCATTATTTTCTTTACATTAAGCCACTTCTAACATGTACTTCTCCTCAATATCAATTGTTCACAAATCATGTGGTGTAGAGAAGCTTCTACCAGTGAGAGTGTCTTTCCTCTTGCTGGAACGTTATGTCTTCTTGCTGTTTGCATCAATCCTTCTTCTGTCAAATTTATGTATGCAAGTTCCTACCTTTTATTACAAAATGAGGTCAAACTCGTTTTTTTAAATAACGAACTTTTTATCTGCTTTAGGGCAGATGGGAATAATATCAACTGGAATTCAACCCTCAAGTTCTGCTAATTCCTGTTTTACCGTTGTCTGATTAGCTGTTTGTTGTTCCTTTCATCTGGTTGGGCTTGGAGACTCAACCTTATCTCCTTGGTTTATTATCAGCTGTTGATTCCTCACAGCCACAACTGTCATGTTCCCAAAATTTATATCACTTCCTTTGTATTGCCACCTATGTTACTTTATCTGATGATTGTGCCTTTAGTTGTTCATCTACAACTTTAACAGATTCAAGTTCCATTGTCAACTACAGAGTTTTCTGTAAAGATGCACACCTACCTTGTTTCAGCCTAATTTACATATCCTTGTCTGTTATGGCATCTGTGAATTAGTCATGTGCCAAACAGTCCATAATTACATGTGGAGCACCTGTGTAAGATAATTAGGTAAGTCTTTCCAAATGTTCTACAAGTTCAGCTAAGGTGTATTCTTTTTTCTGTACTCTGCTCCTGAACTCTGCTTTGGAAACTTCTTTCTGATATGTCACTCCACATCTGATGGATAGAGCACCAACCAGTACGTGAGGGTTGTTATATCTCTCAGCTGAAGGTTGCTTAATATTGTTTAACCCAGTCCTTTTAAACAAGCAGCAATATGAATAGTTTGTTGAACATCATTCACTTCGGAAACGATTTCGAACTTAGCCTGGTACCTTTCCATAATAGTCCCTTGGTTTCCTAAGTGGGATCTGTACTTATATAATTTTGTCATTACAGTATTTATGTACTTCTTCTTGTAATCTCTGTTAATCTTGTTTTCCATCAGATTTATACATGTTCTTATTTCACCTTTAAATATTACATCTCTTTAATTCCTCTTTTGAATTCCGTCCCTTACCTCTTGATCCTCTAATTTTCTATAAACTTCTTCTTGGTCTAATTTTAATTTTCTGTTTCTTCAATTTTCTTCTTCACCTTTTATATTTTCCAATGTTTTGTTATCTCTAGCATATTCCTGATCTTGCCTGTTGCTGGTATTATCTTGAAGTTAAACGAGTTCTATTTTATTTTCACCAAAATAATTCCACTTCTGACACAATTGTGGTAACGTGTTCTTTCATTTTTTGAATTATTCAGCAAAACTAATGTGAAATGCATTTCACTTATCAATTATGAATTAATTTATTCAATAATGTTTTATATAGGCTACATTCACTAGTAGGCCGAACTTCACAAACAATGTTTCAATTAAAATTCTGAAATTAATGTTTCTTTAACTTACTTGCAAAAACTACCTTGCCAATCGATTGATAATAAACACACCAACAAATGTACTACGTGACTGATGATAAACAAACTAATTAACTCTCTATCTGGTATTTTTATGTTTTATTAGTTTCCTGTGAGCTACAGACAGCTTTTAGATTCCACATAGGCCTAAACTTCCATAACAATTCTGAAATTCACATAATCAAATGTACTACGTGACTGATGATAAACAAACTAATTAACTCTCTATCTGGTATTTTTATGTTTTATTAGTTTCCTGTGAGCTACAGACAGCTTTTAGATTCCACAGAGGCCTAAACTTCCATAACAATTCTGAAATTCACATAATCAAATGTACTACGTGACTGCTGATAAACAAACTAATTAACTCTCTATCTGGTATTTTTATGTTTTATTAGTTTCCTGTGAGCTACAGACAGCTTTTAGATTCCACAGAGGCCTAAACTTCCATAACAAATCTAGAATTCACATAATCATTACATCATGTTAAAACAAACAAACAAACTTTCTCTAGCGAACAATGATCAATCTTAATGTGTTATCACCCCTGTTATCGAAGAAAAAGATATAGTGCTTTGAAATTATTATTATGTATGAGGGCATGACATACAATTACAGCTCCTAAAACAATTATCTGTCACTTACTACTGATTCCCTGGTGTTTTATGGGTAACATTAAATTACAACACCTTCCAGTGCTTTCATATCCTTAACCTAGAATAGATTGTTTTATTGTTTACTTTCAAGTGTTGTTGAATGGCATTGTACATGGAGTTGTGTGTTCATGAAACTGATACAATATTTTGTATTAATTTTTATTCGTCGTTTCCTATAATTGAAAATACGACAGTACTGAAACACAATTTTCAAAAACAAACTGAGCTGTCTGCTGAACAAACTACAGTTATTTTTGAGATATGCACTGGAAGAAGTGCATCAACAGTAATGCAGTAAAACGTATGAAAACAACAAATCATTCATAGTTTTATAGCTACTAGCTGGGGGAATGTAAATTTACATATACAGCATTTATTCAATGCTGTGTAAATCACAAAATCCAAGATAATCTCTGACTGGAATGTCCACTTACTCTTTTAACACAACATCAAATTTCTCACCAAACTTTACAGGTACATACCTCATAGCAAGATTCATACATGTTAATTACTATTACAGGTAACATTATGGTTAAGATCTATAGTAGCATACGATAATTAAAGGGACAGCTCAGAAAATACTAGTTAAATATGAATAACTTTCAAAGGGTTTGTAAGATTCAATGATGAATACCCACACATATACATACATTAAATTTTTCCCCAATTAGATGAAATACTAATAGAGAAACGAATGACATTTTGTTTTGCATTTCAGATCTCTACAAAGAACATTAGCAAGGACAATCATTACAATTTTACTAAGTAATCAATATTATATATATATACAATAAAAAAAAACATTCCTACACTGATAGCACTATTCTCAAATAATAAATACTTTTCTTTACATCAGTGAATTATCAGATCCCTATATTGCTGTTTCAAGATAACTTGGTTCAGGAATTTTAAAAATAACGTGGAATTTGAAGTGTCTTTCATCAAACAAACTTCAGGCTTTAGTGGATACAGCAGAATTTGATTCACTTCCAGTTTTCTCTTTTTCCAGCTGCCGTCCCAAATATTCCCTAAAATATACACAACACAGTTTTAAATAACCCTAACACTGATTAGAAAGTACCTCTATTATTTCTATAAAAACACACTGGACTATTTTACAGTAGGTAGTCCTTGTACTGATGAAATAAGATAGCCAAAGAACATTTTAAAATTATTATCAGTAAAAACATTTTAGATTATTTTTTTTATGATTATTCTTACCTCCTTTTGCAGACCTTCTTGACAAATATACTATACATACACCATCTAGATGTTTGTTTATATAAATCTTATTTATTCAGATCCAAACAAAGCAAGTTTAAATAATCCTTAATATGATAGAATAAACAAAATCGGATAGTCTCTTAAAAAAATAAACAGTAAAAATACACATGCAATGAAACAAAATTAGGAAAGAAAAAAAAAGCTAGTTACAAAATAAAAATCAGCAGGATATATTCCAAAAATAATAAGTAAATCTTGCAGTACAACTATCAAGACTAAAATCTATATAACAATTGAGATAATTAGCCTAATATGCAAGTTTTGAAAAGACAGCTTCAGCTTCGTGTATCTTTGTACCCCCAAAATTTGACACTAGCTCCACAGGTTGCATACTTCAATCAACGGTCTACATGCAATATTAAGTGAAGTAAGTTTATATAGGTTTCTGTATCACTGTTGGCATATAACATCTTTCAAGAAGTCCATACAGAACCACAAATTATCTTCAGACTCAAGGACAAATGTTGCAAAATGTAGCTTTTACCCATGTTAAAGAGTAAGTGCATCAGGTCAACATGGATGTGATTAACTATACAGAAAAACTGCATGATAATGTAGAAACATATTACATGAAAATACCTGAATAAAAATATATCATGTACTAGTTATGGAAAAACTAAACTGTAATGTTTCAAACAGCCATGAATTTCACACTTCCACAACTAGTTTAGAATATACTGTTAGTCAGATATAATTACCTAAACTTTTTAAAGTAAATTTTCATTCAGATGTTCTGCACGTAGTATGGCATTCTTGTTAAACGGATGTTGAATGGTCATAAACGTGTGGTACTTGTTTTGTAACGGTTACGTGGTTCAGTCTGTGTTTTTCAGTTGGTTACACCTGTTTCTCTATGACTCCATCACTCATATAACACATTATGATATTGTAGTGTTATATCAGAATTCTCTCGATCTTCAATCTCATAAAGACGTGCCCCATCAGTGAAACAGAAAAAAAAAAAGATTCTGTTTTATTTGTGCTTTTCTTCTATTGCTGCTGTAGTTTGATTCAGTCTCTGTTTAACCGTCCTGAACTTCAATTATTGTGCATGTTTTAAACTTACCTGTCAAATATAAGTGGACCTGAACACCACAAAATTCATGACTATTTCAGTCATTTTATGAAGAAGACACATAATTATACAATCAGCACTTCACAGTGTTTATAAGAAAGAGATTGATAACTACATCATTAACAGCTGATGAAGTTTAATACAGAAAAAGCACCTTACCAAGTCTTATATGGAGACGACATGTGATTATATGATCAGTTCTTAACTGTGCTACATCATTAACAGCTG